AGCGTGAACGGTGAAAAAGAGCCTTCGTCTTTAGAAGCGGATTGAATGAGTACACTCTTCGCTATACTTGAAGGAATGACCTTGCAACTCATTAGACAGAATTTATTCATGAGGAAATCTGCACTTTGACGACGAAGCAAAGGAGAATGGAGGCTCCACGTAACCTTTTATCTCTTACTGTTCCCATGGTATTTAGAAATTAAAAGTGAAATAGAAGCAGAGGTGCTTGAAGATGAGTTCTTTGGTCCTGGGAACATGACATTTCTTACTATAAAGAGGAATTCCTTGAAGTTCTTTTGTGTCATTATGCGAGGGTAAATCGGCCATATGCAGATTTACAAACCGTCGAAAAACATTTACATGGGGTATGAGAGCATCGCCCTGATAGCCGCACTTACTGAGTGTGATAGAGTTATGCTACTCATGTACACGGTCCTTTGTTTTACAAAAAAATCCATGAAAAGACTTTTTTCCTTTCATTGACTTGATTTGATTAATAAATAATAGAGTTGTCTGATATGACAGCTTCAGTTATACCATCAATAAATTCAAGGACAGTCAGCTTAGCATCCGAAAATGGTCAAATGGTGCTTCTCGAAGAAGACCAATTGATAATTTACATAATTCTTCTCTTGTTTTTCGTCTTCAACTATTACACCTAGTTACTGGCAGACTGCATTTAAGTTTGCAGGAAATATCCTTGGGAGGTGTGTTTACAACATAAACACCTTTGGCTCACTCAAACAAGCAGGGTTGGCTTAAGTTTCCGTGGTTGAAGCTACGGAGATAAGCATGGCTTCAATTTTTTAACCTACAAATTAGTCCAGTTGTTCAAGTAATGGTTCTTGATTAACAAGTGCTTTTGTAAGCAGTGGTACAAATTAGGAGGGGTGCTACATGTTCGTAAATAGTGTTTCATCGATGTGACCTCGTTGCTAATACCTAGGAAAGAGGCAATCGTCCTCTGAAGGAAGGGCATGAGGGAAGTTAAAGCGAAAAATTGACAGGAGTATAGTTAGTACTGACGTAAGTGTGCTGCCGGAAAATTGCCATGGCTGAAGGCGTGTAGACTAAGGGATTTAAGGAAGCAGTACAGAGCAACCTACGTAGTTTGTTGCTTGTCGTTCGCCATGGTTATCTGGGAAGAAAATGTGCCCTGTATTTGCTTTTATGCTTTAGTAATTATAAGACTTCGACTTCATCGTTTCCCAAAATTTCGCAGTCACTAATTTGAGACTTTGTATATTACCATGTAAGTGCTTCTACATTTCCGGTCAAGTGGTTTGTTTTAATTAAGGAGGGAGCTCGGTTTCCGCAATTAAAGCATCAAATGTGTCGATCCTTCTTCTCCAAACTTGACAGGTCGGACGGCGTCGAACCAGTTAGGATTCATTAACTAATTATCCAGCAGTCTAGCTTTCTGCTTGGTCCTCATCTTCCACTCCTCGTATTGCCATCAGTGGCTAAAAAAATCGACCAAGAATATCAAGTTTGACATTCGACGCCTGCCTTGATTCGCCTTGTGACCCCCTTTTTCAATAATACAGGGAGGTTTGCGCACATTTTCGTCCACTTTTTCAAGCTTACAGCACAGTGACTCACCTCCCTAAGTTGTTGCAGCTGACTGGGCGTTGGGCCAAGGTCTGTCCTCCGATGCACCAAAACACGACCTCTTGTACCTACCACTAAACTTAACTCCTAGCCAAAGTTTTGGCATGAGAAAATGTGACCCTTCTCACGAAATAGACCTAATAACAAAGGAAAGTCTGCACATTTGATGCAAACGTCCCCCACCCCCTTCCCCACTACCACAGATGCACACGTTCTGCACAAGTCATGCTTTCTATAGTGTGTGACACAAAAATTTTAACCAGAAGATTGTAAGCATCCTAATTTCCGATGCACAAACTCCTCTCACTACACATTCTGACAAAGCTGAGTAATACTTGCGTATTCTAGCTGAACAAAACAATAAAGCTGTCATTGACACGTTTCCTCTCCACGTCATATGCATATATGCTGTGAGTTTTTCATTAATCCTCGTCAGCTTTCACCCACAAATAGGATATATTGTAGGCTGTGTGACTCAGCTAGGAGGAAAGCAAAAACCAGTAAACTAAGCTTCCTTCACCATTTTCAAACCTTCATTTTTTCCCAATGGATCGCTGAACCATCGGTGTAGTCGTGGTCAATGTTTACCATTCTTTTCTCCACGAACTATTTGGATTTTGTGATACCCTTTTTGGTGGAGTCCGAAGATGCCATTCACAATGGAGACGAAAAATGATGACAGGAGAGAGGGAATAAAAAGACACCTGTTTTGTGTGGGAAAAATGTCATATCACAAGCAGCATCTACGATGGAAAAGCAAATGTATTACTGGTTTACTTTTTATGCACAAAAAACACCAACAATATCTTGGATGATGGTGTTATTTTGCAATTCACGTGTTTGTTTTAAATGGCAAGCATAATCTGCCGCGCTGAGATCAATAGGGTGACAAAATTGCACTTAAAGGGATGAAAGGGGCTATTATCGTTGCCTTTGAGGTCATATTCCTCACCTGAAGTGTCGTCTGCTGGTATTTTGGAGTTAAAGTTATCAAAACGCTGGGTTGAAGAGTTAGGATCAGCCATGACAACACATACCAATCAACCAAGGCCAATGGAGTGCTCCAAGACACCTTAGAAGCTTAAATTAACTTGGAACTTGTACCCCCGTGGAACTGTGATTTGGGAATGGAATTGGGCTAATCACCGTGCATTTCTCCAACCAGCCGTGAGAGCAACCTGAACTCAAGGCAGAGCCATCGGAGTGGGAACAATGCTAAATGCAGCTTCCTTTTCACTTCAGACCTGTATTATCATATCTGTCCATTATTCTACTTCCCTCCCCTCTCAGCACACTCCAGTGGGAGGGACGGAGGCATTATCGCGTGTTAAAGCAATTGACACCTTTCCTCAGGTACCATTGACAGCGCTGTAACAAGCTCCTGATGGATCACGACTGTAGTTTTGCCTTAGGTGACGGTGGCTTTCGTGCCTATCGTGGGAATGGAGCGGGGAGGAGGAGGAGGAGGAGGAGGGGGAGGGGGACTGCCAAGGGTTAACCCGATTGTCCATACTTCTGCTAGAAGTCGTCACTAATTTTCTTACTCCAGTCATGGAAATAAGGAGAATTGACTCTTATTATCGAGTTCGCTTTCCATCGCTTCCTGGATAGCACCTCCGATCGGTCCTCACCTTTGGTAAATTTACAGTAGGCATGATAGGAGATACGGTAACTGCTGTGGTGCAAGGCTGCGAGGCCGAGGGTCACGCTTGCGCAATCAAAACGCACAACTAGTGGACTACTTTGAAGAGCATATTTTCTCGTTGAAAGGCTCCTTCATTTTTTCTCCTATTCTTGGCCAAACAGTGATTTTTAACATCAATCAGACTGTGGATTCTTTTCTTCGAGGCTTCATTTCACTCTCCACTCTTTTTTCGCCTCATCAAAAAGCACTTTACCTCTGGAGACATGAATGCTAGCAGCAGCTGTCCTCACTCCTTCACCTCATTGCTATGCTCCACTCCTATTCGCTCTTTTTCATGTGGTTGTACGGTGGCCTGAGGACAGTGTCAAGAAAAGTTGACGATATCCTCTCGAGGGGATAGCAACAACGGAATGGCAGGGAGGCGAATAAGGCAATTCATTTCTCCTTCTCACCCAAGTTGCAAGATACACAACCTTTGTGTGGATAAATTTTGCCTTATGGGGTATGATGTTCTTCGATTTGATGTATTGAAACACGCACCACACTGAGGTTTAGACTTATGAGTTTGAATTATGCCAATTTTTCTGCCACAACAGGAAATGCAGTGTGTAGAAGCCTTTAATGCCTTCCACTTGGAGCACGGAGGGCGTCTGCATCTTGATTGACCTTCCAATGGCTAATTGGGAGGGCTGAGGCTAGTTGAGCACGATATTGACCAATCAGAGGGGTCGAAAGGCACCGCTAGTTTTGAACGCTTGAGAATTCAGGGGTGTGGCTTAAGGAATTTGTTAATGTTGTCACTGCTTTGCACATATCTTTGCGTAGGTAAACAGAATGATATTTTTCACGATCAGGAAGGCATTTGGCTGCTCAAGCGATGGCTATTTATATCGTCGCTCTTGGAGACCGCTTCACGCATTGTCTGGAACACGAGGCCGAGCGGCAGAATGGGCAAGTGGGCAGAGGGAAGGTGGGCTGTAATGAGACGATAGAATGATGCGGCAGTTCCTAATTTATGTTGCCAACCAAATAATGCGTTTAACTTCTGAGGCAAATTTGCCATTGGCTCTGAGGTTTGCATTCTCTTGCTCTGCCTCCTCTCCCCTTCTCCTCCCTCCCTCCTCCATTCCTCATTTCCCTGTCCGCCGCTTTCTCCTCTCCCTCTCTCTCTCTCTCTCTCTCCTCTTCTTCTTGACTGCCAGAAGCGTCCTCCGAGGCTGTTTTTATGTCTACGTGATAGAATCGAAAGCGTCTTTCCCTTCTCTAAATGCTCACTTTTTTAGTGGCAAATTGGAGTTTTAGGTGGTGACGTCCACCTTAGGTGATTGCAAATTTTCTGGATTCACTTCAAAGTCCACGACAACGCCTTTATCTCCCCGAAGAAGGAGTAAATAGCAGTTTTGTCCATTTTAGACAAAACCGAATCACTCTTCTATCAGGATCCAATTGAAATGGGCAATCAACAGGTCGTGGCGCCTGCTTCACATCAGCTTTTCATTACGGTAATTACATTTCTTTGCTAACTTTGACAATCGAGTCAACAATTCTCTGTTTGGATGCATCGTGGGTGGATGTCTCTTTCCAGCTGGGCATTTTACAGTTTAAAATTTGAATGCCTTTTAATAACCCTCGATTTTGGAGTCAAGCTTTTGTCCAGTAGTTTGGGGGTTTGTAGTTACCTCCACTGTGGTTGGTCGCCTTGTAAATTAATGGATGACATAAAGTTTTTGCACTCCATTTATTTGCCAAAAAACGTGGCTTAAGTTTGTTATTGCTTTGATGGGTGCTGGAGATTCCAGCATCCTTTCATCAGAAGGGAGGGATTCCATTTGTGGAATAGGAAGAACATGAGGAGCGTCATGTTTTCATTTTTTTTTGCAAAAAGACAGAAGTCTTTAAACGTACTTTGCATTCGTTTGGCTTGTGGGTAGTTCGGAGAAATGGGCTTCGTGGTTACGAAGTGCGGTTTACTTCGATGCACAACTTCCGGATCCGTGATGCTGCCAAAATTGATGGAATCAGTTTGGGCGCCTCTTTTCTACCCTTTTTACTTTGCTGACATCGTATCTGCAGCTAACCAGTGCCTGGAGAAGGCGACAAAGCACTTCCGTTGAGCCCGTCATTGTGGTTTTGTCTGTTGTCCATTCCAAGTGTTCATCGTCTCTGTTTTAGCATCACAGATGCAAACGCCTACTTGTCACACTCCTTTGTTACCGGTCAGGATGATAATCTCATTTTGGTCTCATCTTTCTTAGTCTGATCGAGATGACATCGGTCCACCGAACATTCACTCCTCCGCCTCTTCCGCCTCCTCCGCTTCCTCTTGCACAACTCCACTATTAGCAACAACAACAACAACAACGACCGCCTCCAAAACCGTAGTCAAGACGCCGATTCCCATCGGAACGTTGATGCGGCGACCAGCACCACCGCCTCCCGCGAATACGGCCCAAGGACTGTCACTGCCTCCACCGGTTGCCACGGCAGCCGCCATGGATACTGCGCCACCGCCATGTACTTTGGCCAATGGAATGGCGTGCGAGTTGATGCTGGATGATAATAAGTGAGTCAAAAAAAAAAACCAACAGAGTTAGTTTAAGGCAGTTTAAACGATCACTTTGGCACTCAGCTGTTGGTGGACTGTACTCACTTCAAAATTAGACTTTGAGACGTATGCAGGATATGACAATTAAATAGGTGGTGGAGGCGTTCGATCATGCCGTCAGACTCTGCGTATTCCACGCATTCAATGTTTGCCAAACTGAATGTCCACCATGAACCGAATTGCCTCTAAAGAAAAGTAAGGTGGGTCTCTTATTAGGCTGTCAAAAATCTTGTAGTAGCAAGATACTACTGAAGTCATTTTCATCTTTCAGTAGACATGTCAGCTGTGGGGTTTTTGGGCAAATTGAAGGGAACAAAACCATCATTCCCTCCTTCGGCGCTGGTATAGAGACCATTATTATTGTAGAAACATGAAAGCTTAGTTTGCTTACAAAAACAAGTTGTTTGGAAGGCTTTGCTAATTTTTTTCCTGGTTGATCATTTGGCATTGAAGTGTGATACAAGCTTCGTACCAAGTGAGCAGACCTTCACTATGCCTAGTGTACCTTTCGCGGATGTAAAATGAAGTGAACCATTAAAAAAACTATTTTGACTTGTTAAAAATAGGAAAAACTGCCGTTTTCGCCTCTGATTTAGCCAAGAATGTCCTCTCCAATCAAGAGTGACCTATAAGTAGCTGATGATTAATGACACAGTGGAAATTGAGGCTGTTTGTGGGTGAAAAATCTTTCCACATCTAGACTACTATTTGCTGCTTTTGGCTGCAAAACATGAGGCGTAAATTGATAAGTAAAAGTCCATCGGTTTCTCGTTTTTATTAATTGATGAGACCTTTTAAACTAATTAGTGGCGCAATTTTGCTTCCCGGCGTTATTTTAGGGGTAAACAATTTCTCCCCGACTAAGTGCTTCACCTGACTCTTTCATGCTAACGAAGGCAGTAGATGAGGAAGTTGTTATGAGAAATTGGATCGTTCTGAGTCATGGCAACAATTACTTGATAATTTCTAGGTGGATTGAATTATTTTAGGGGTTTCTTCACTTTCTAAGCCTTGTAGCCTTAGGACGGGCTCCACTGCAATTTTAATCTGAGTGACAAAGGTGTAGAACTTCATAAAGAGAGGATTTTAGTAACTGATGGACTCTGGTTTAAGCCAGACGGAGGCCTTGGGGTCATCTCCTCTTCTGACATTTGCAGTATTTTGATTGGCTGCGAGCGATGACACGCTTATTGACCAATCAGGAGAGGCGGTGCACAGCGTGAACTCTAACTACAAAAAATTTACATATAGAAGCTACGCATGGCATCGTGAAATCAAATTAAATTTCTTCTTCTTTATGTTGAAAAAGGGTATCAAGAACAACCAATTTTCAACCATTTTTTATTGGAAAAAATCAAATATTTCGCTTAGCTGCAAAGATTGTCGGGATAATTGTCCATTATTAGTTTCATTGGTATTCTTTGACGGTGACTTTCTGGGACCATAGGATATCATTCCAGTGTTGTCAACACTAACTATTAGAAAAAAAAGCCAATATTTTACTTACCAATGCTAATCGAGACTACTTAATTTTAAAAGATGCCATGGCGACAGAGATGGAGGCAGTCTATTTTGTGTTGGAATACGGACAAGTTGATAGCTAAAGGCTATGGGAACTCGTGTTTGTCAAATGTCACATTCTACACTTGCCTGGATGCCGAGGTCGAGCATTACTGACACATCCTCCAAGTGGCTACCGCCCAAAGTTGTGATGCTTGGTGTTGAGGCTGGGGAACTCTAAACGCTCAGAAGAGGGCATTAAAAGTTAGTTTTCGAGGCTGTAGTACTCACACGGCTAAGTGTGCACTAAAACAGGCATTAAACTCTCAATTTTTTTGCACGTGAAGTGCATGCCAAAGTACGCATCTTTATCCTTTTTCCCAAGGAGGAATTCATTTATCTCCTTTTAGTTCACAATCAGGGAAAAAACGGCGTTTTATGCATAGGTGGATGCGAAAGGCAATGTTGACTCCGATGACACGTTTGCCAACATTTGTTTTTCTCCCTTTAACATACCGCATCGAAATTCCATTTCAACATTGTCGAACAAGCTTTGATTTCACTTGGTCAATATCCTTTGAAAGGTATGACGACAATTTTTAATGGGGCAAGGGGAGGAGGAGGAGGAGGTGGGTGGGAAGGGGAGGAGAGGAGAGGGGAGAAAGACGTATAAAGCCCCTTATTTGGCTTTGCCGATTGGAGGACGAACATGTGATGTTTCTAGCTCTACAAATTGGTGGTCTACACAAAACAAAAGTGAGTTTTTTCCCTCCCTTTTTTTTCTACCTCTTCCCTCTCCCCTCGCTCTGATTTCATCACTGACCACCAAAAGTGATTACAGATTGAAGGAAGGAAGAGGAAGGGGGACAATTTTGTTTGTAAGTTTGACGTTTAAATGTCCGACAGTGGCCTGGCCACGAATACAAGGTGCAGTGCTGTTTGGATCCATCGCCTCAATTACACCAGCACGACAGTTGTTTCCCTTTGTTGTTGACCCAAATCAGTTGTTTGGTGATTGCAAGTCCTTTTAGTTTAAAAATGGTGCAAGATTTATAAATGCGGCTGCTTTTTATCCCCCCTCCCCTCCCCTCCCCTCCCCACCCTTTAACTGACAAGGGGAGTTCGCAGGCAAAGGCACCCTCTTTTCTCCGGCGGTTCGCCTACAATGTTACAACGCAGTTGCAAGCGACAGACAAATTCCTTGTCATGCAATAAAAAAAAATTAAGCCTACCAAAATGGAAAGTGGCCTTTAGTGAGGAAAAAGGAGATTCTATTTGGGTTGGTGCTTTGTGGTTAGACGGTGGAAGACCCAATTGGGTCGCCTCTCGGTTGCCAGAGGCGTTGCAGAGGCAATTTGTTGACGTCTCGATGCGATCCATGCCGGGGTTACAGACTCCTATTTTGAAGCAAACAAAGCAGTCATTCGGTAGTTCCTACTTTTTCACGGTCCACTTTTTCCCCTCCGTGCCCAACTGTCTCCTCCATTTTGCGTAGAGTTGTGTCACATTTTGTAATCCTCAAAAAGAAAGGCAAATGAGGCAGCCGATTGATCGCCAAGGGCGTAAGAAAGGGTCGCAAAGTGTCTTCCTTTTGTCAATTTTTCCCAGTATTTTCCACATATGTGCACTTAAAATCCTTTTAAATGGAGGATGTACTTTTTCCATTCCCGTTTTAATGGAAGCTATAAGTTCTTTTCCTCCTCTACAAAAAACAAAAAAAAAGAATGGCAAGACGAAGGAGTGGGCGAAGGGATAAACGTCTCCACTCCCTCCCTCTTGAAACCGTCGGAGGTCGTAGAATTGTTGTGTCACTTACTTGGTGAAATTCGACAAGTTCAATGCGATACCTTCTCTTTTAATATTGAAAATTTTTTGCATTTTTTTTCTTTTACTTTTTAAAGCGAAAAGAACCTCCTCTTCCACCCCAGAGAGAGAGAGAGAGTGGAGAGCGAAGAGAAAAAGGGACCTTCGCCTGCGTGTCTGAATTGCGGTTTCGATGTTGTCGATTGCGTGGCAAACAAATGATGCAACACTCCTTTTTTTGATGTATCTCCACACAATTATGTTGTTGTTGCCCGTGATAACTTTGGAGGAGAGGGAGGCGTTGCTATTTTTTTTTAGGTCGCGAAGTGTCTAGAATGAATTTGATGCGTCTGATTTGGACACCTCTTTCCTCATCACTGCAGATTGAAGTGGACTTCCATTTTTGCCTGGAATGAGGAACTTTCAAGTGTGTTTGGTGTGACCATCACCTTGGGATGGGGACATTCCACTGACGCCTGCCACCCACCCACACACACCCACGAGTCATGAGAGCGCGATGACAATTTTTTTTGCCCGCCTTGATGATCGGTCCGTGGGAGGGGTGAGAAATGGCATTTGTGCCTCGATTACTTTCTCTCCCATTCTACCCGTCTATCCCTCTGTGGTGCGTGCTGCTCCACACTCTACTGAAGCGAGTGTCTGAGCCCTAGAAGCTGCCTATTGTCAGGCCGCCGAAGCAGAGGAAGGTGGAGTGGTCATACCACTTCTGGAGGATGATGACTGCAGCCTCATGGAAATCCTCATTAGTGAAGGCGTTTTTAAAAGATTTGCATGAAATTGTGAAGTCGTCAAAGAGGTGAGAAGGGTTAAGGCCCACGAGTTATGGAGTTGTGCGTCTTCTACTTGAATGGCAACCTGCTGACGAGGCGTAGTTGAACTTTTAAAGTTCCCCTGAGTGCAAGAATGAAAGCAGACATACTTCTCGTAGAGGCGTGAAGGAAGGGAATTTCTTCCCTCTTCCTTGGAAAGAGTAAAATTTTACTTCTTCCTTTTATTAGCTACAAATATAGAGACAGACGTACATAAAATGTTTCATGGCAAAAGAGATGGCGGAAAAGGGAGAGGGGAGAGAGGACAGAGGGAAGGGAGATGATTCGTGGCAAATGTGGGCTACTACTATTGAAGTCGAAGATGACGGTATTTCCTCTCCTCTAATCTGTTATTGCAAGGACCACCAATGCAGCTTTGGTTAGAAGGTCAATTTTTTTGTCAACTTTTGTTCTTTCTGTTGTCAATGATGGCGGCGGCGGCAGCTGCACTGTTTAAACTAGACTTGCAATTTTTGTGAAAGGGCTTTTCATCAGTTTCATTTATTTTTCATGCCTTCAAGTGGACCTTTTGTTTCCCTACCGCTTGCCTTTCTTCAAACAACTATCAATTTAGAGTTATTTATGTCGTGCCATCAAAATTTCCCAATCCTTTTCAAGGTCTAAAATGACCCTCTACCCATGTAGACGGAAGAATTGAAAAAAATTAGTTCATTTTAACGATACATTTGATTTTTTTGCCCCTAAAGTGGGAAGACATTTTTAGAGCTGCGAAAAATTGGGCGATTGAGTAGGCTTAGCTCTGAGAACGATTTATATCCATTAGGTAGCGTCCGCAGCTCCAGGCAGGTAGACAGCCAACCAAGAAAGCAAGAAAAAAATGTAAATTTCTTTTAATGAAATGGAAGAGTAGGCGGAGTTGTTCTTAAGTCGGTGTGCTGGATCTGAAACCAGTTACTCTTGTGAAGGAGACTACATTCCTGAGGCAGACTCAATTAGAGGAGGAAGGAAGACGTGGTTCCACATCGAAGTAGCACAAAATGAAAAACACAAGCTCAGACGTCATTTTTGATCTCTTTCCTTTCCAGACAAACATCCTCGCTCTCCACGTTTGCCCACAGTCCTTCAACGCTGCCCTCAAATGATTCCTCTGTGAGTTCTCTTTTGTTTTATCTTAGTGACAGTTTAACATACATCAAAGAGCACCTTCGAGAGGAACTCGACATTTGTGCCCCGTTGACCTAGAAATTTGAATCCATCGCCTTTATACCTATAAACTAGTGGGGCCGATTTAAACAAAGTTATTAACTTTACAAAACTGGCTGCGTTTAAGAGTCTCAAACCTTAAAATTGCACAATGTCTGAAATACAAAAAAGAAGTGCGTTTACCAATTTTGCTGTATTATTTTTTTACAGAAACTTTTTATCCACTTTTTTTCTCAGATCAAATGCAAGAATTAGCCACTGGAAGTTTTATCGCGTAAAATCCAATGGAGAGATTTTAAAAATTTCGGCAAACTTTGCAAATTCCGTAAAAGCTCTGATATATAAGGGGTATAGTTTTTGTACATTTTGAGCAGATCGCATCCGCATGCACTGTAGCCCGTTGGATTGCAATTCCTTCCTGATTTGTGCTGGACGTGGGGACACCAGATAATCGCCTTGCCTGCCAAATAGCGATTCACTTCCTCGCAGAATAAACACTTTTGCGTGGTTATTCCTTCTCCTCCCTGTGACAGGAGCAAAACCTTCATTAGCGTGTACTTTTATAGGTCAATTAAGGACATCCAATGAAAACTTTCCTAGCAGAAGGAGGAAGTGGCATTTTTTGCGTCCTTTTTTGCTGCATAACTGGACTTGTGTGAAAGGATAACCTAAAAGGCGGTGAAATACATGTGTAAGGAAGACTAACAAATTTACAATCGCTGAGCCTGAGGGAGGACAAAAAATTTCTCCTCCTATTTCTAAAGTGTGACCTTGACGACTTCCTTTTTCGGCCACAAAAGAGAAACTATCAAAATATGCCACTTTTGACATGTGAAAGCAGTATATACGACTTCCTGTTTCTTTCTTACTCAGAATAATTTCTCATTTCTCTTGTGTTTGCCAGAAGAAATCGAGGGGGCGCCCTGTCTAGATGCATTGGTCATGGAAGCACAGACTCAAGTTCAATGATTGAATTTGGTATTCCAAGACATGTGCGACACCTTCTGTAGTAGTAGTTGAATGTATTTGGGACACATGAAGGATTATTTGCTCAGACTGAAGTGGTGCTTCTATAATGGGCAGATGGATTTGCTGGTTGACGGTAGGGATGGAACTCGGTGAGCGCATTGACGAGTGGAGAGTTGGTAATACAGAAGCGAGAAAATTAAACGATTTTCTTTTGTTTAAGGTTGTTGAGTGGATGGTTAAGTGAGCTTCCACCACCGCCAACCTCCTGTAGAATGTGGTGGGTGTCAGGTGGCGTAAACTCCGTCGTCACTGTTCATATTCACGCTTCTAAAACCATTTTGGTGTCTCAAAGGTGGCTTCTTGCGGAGACAGACAAATCGCATTAAGTTTTTTACAAGAATCCAATGTCGGCTTGAGTTTGGCTGTTGTGTCAACCCATGAAATGAATGCTTGTCCGCGGTTCACTCTACTGTAAAACTGTTTTTTCTTTCTTATCTCAGATACTCATTATTTTTTAATTCATGCATACGAAACGCAACCGCGCTCGTTCGCTCTCTCTCAGATGTCCTCCCTCCGTTTCCCCCCCCCCCTCCCGCTCCTCTCCCCGACGCCTCTTCCTCTCACCCTTGCAATCCTTTTGAGAATTTGGCGGAAAACGTTTCCAGGATAGTGTACATAAAAAGTGTAAATCTATTTGGATAGATAGGCTGGCAGTAACTTCATTTCAACGCCCTTTGTATTCAAACGAACATTTGTTCACACTTTCGGCATTGTTCAAGGCGCGTGCAGTGCAGTTCTCTTCCTCCCCAAATACGCATTCTCTTTTTATACCAAAAAGGGTGTTGAAAGTTTCCTTTTTTCAAGTTCAAAAGCCTTCAACTTGTCTCATACAAAATTGTTTTGCAAACTCCTTGTAAGTGGTTCATTGAAAGCAGCACTTCGCGAGAACGAGGGTCACCTTTAGTCAACCTTCCCAAGGTTGGTGCAGTTTACTTGAACTTTTTCTGACAAACTATTCGACGGTCTTGGAAGTTATGCCCGACTTTGTACCACGACATTAAAATTATCCCTCGGTAGACTCTTTTTAAGAGGCAATAACGTTCAACTGTCTGTGTGAACTGCAGGCGCGTGGGCGCGTTGTCTGAAAAGTCGTAACCAAGTGGTGGGTGCTTTGGTTTGAGCCACAGCTGCTCCATTTATATCCCATTTAACCAAGCACATCGGCATGGGAGGGGTGGGGCGAGACGAGAGGTAATTTAAACAACAGTTCCACCGACTTCTTGAGCCGAAACGACTGCTGACGTAGGAATGGTTGAGGTGAAACAAAACTGATTCTCATTAACTACCACGTCTTGGGATCATCTGGTTCGACCATGGTTTGTAAAACTGTCGACGACTGGATGAATCAAGGATTGTGGAATGGGTGAATGCTTGAATAACTACATTTCTAATTATCCCATCCCCCTTTCTCGTTCTCTGTCTTCACCGTTTCCCTGACTCGTTTTCAATCCACTTCCTGCCGAGTTTTCATTAAGCAGCTTTTTATTACGGGTTGTGTTTGAGGCAGCTACCAGCTGTCGAGATTTTAACAGCCTTTCCGTTGTAAGTCCGTCTCGACAGAGTTTTCTCCCCACTTTGCCATTATTTAATGCGTTTACCCATCGAGATTATGTTTAACACTCGAAGCGAGTTCCTTCTTGCGAGGTAACAATGGAGAGGGGCGAGGAATGGTTTTGTTTGTACGAATGTAAGTTACAATCCCTTCCTAGCTGCACATGCTACTTATATGCCTATGTCAGTAGTGCATACCGTTAACCTGCGAGGCGTTTTTGAAGTGAAAGCTGTCAGGAGCCCCTAAAGAAGAAGGTAATGTGGTACTAGCAGTACTCTATTTCCTTCTATGCTGAAATTCGCCTTGTATAACTCGGACTTCGCTCTCACTGACTGACCATCTTGTTTTGCCCCTCCTCCCTCCCCTCCACCCATTGCTTTGACCCTTAATAAGGTCTGTGACATCTGGTACGCGCCTTCCTATCTCCTTTGAGGGCCACATTTGTCCCACCACATGGAAAATCTTCTGATTCAGTACATTTGTAAAGCAGCTCTGAATCCTGGATGCTTCGGTACACCAAACAACTTCCCTCTGTCTATTAATAGACTTCTGCGATCACTTCGCCTATTCGTAAGGACGATGCGGACGCTAATGTGGATGGTGATACAATAAAGATCATTTGAAAGAACGCTTTAAAGTAATTCTGGTACATCTGGGGAAAGAGAAACTGGATCGTAACATTGATATTACATTTGAGACTGCAGGCATTATTTTCCAAGGGATCCTTTACTCCTGACACACAAACTGTTTAGTTCGATCGCTTCCAGCTCACTTTCGGAGCAAAGTTTTGCACTAGCGTGATATAGAATGCGTCTAAAAACCGTTGGCAGGTAAAGTCTAACTCCTCACATATCCCTCAATGTTTCAGCCTCTATCACCTGAATCGGGATCTCTTCGTCAGCGCGCACCCATTCAACTTCTTTCAGCTTTGGAGGAGTCCACTCGATGTGCTCCACTCTCCAAAATTCCTGAAGAAGACGACAACACTTCTCAGGCCTCAACGGTGATTGTGGTAGTTCAACCACACCATTCCCATCAGCATCACTGTTCCAACTCACCAACAGCATCGATGTCCACAACCTCTTCGAGTACCACACTTCCACTCTCCTCTTCTCCGCATCCCACACCATCATCAGTTCAATCGACGCCTGTCATCTCGACGGACACGGAAGGCGAGGAGGAGCAGGAGGATGAGCGCGAACATGGGGATCACGGTCCAAGGTTGGTTGCGATTGGCAGTCTAATCCGCACCACTCTAACCATTAACTTCGACATTTTTGTTGGTGTCATTTGAATTCCTCTCCCTTCTACTCTCACCCACGACTTTCAACCGCTATGAAGGTGGAAGTTTTTCGAGCGGAGAAGATGGTTTGTCAGATTACACTTTCGTTTTATGTTTTCCAATGTGGAAGCAATTTTTAGTTCATTAGAACGAGTTTCATATGCATGCTATTCGGGTCCTCCACGTAAGGAGAGTTTCTTCTTGGACACGATTAATTCCACTTTTGTGTTAGTTTATGACACGAAACATGAAAGGATTGTCAGCAGGCTCAGAGTGCGAGAAACGTCTTCACACAAAGACTACCTCAACTTTTTTGGCAGCTGTAGTGTAGGAAAATCCCTTAAAAATTGGAACGAGCTTGTTCTAAGTATCCACAACTCATAAAATGGGAGTGTGGCTTGAAAAGTTGTGCTTATGACAAGAAGGGCAGATTCCAGACGTTTTACCGCCTCTTTGAAACAATGGCGAGACATGAGGTCGCACAGAACTGTGGTTAGTCTTTTCGAAAACTCACAGCTTCTTATTCGTAATTCAACGTGAAGGAAATTACGTTCCTCAAAAAAAACTCTGAAATACCGATTAACCCGCTCCCTTCCATCAGGTCTCATTTTGAGAGGATTTGGAAAATAAGGAGTGCGAACTCCCTCCACAGGGCTAAATTGGTTTCCCACAGTTGCGGAGTAGTTATCAGAGGGGCAGACAAAAGTTATGGGCATAGGTTTTCCATCTACCTTGAATGCTACACGAACTTATCTACAAAATGCATTCTCTTCCATCCTACACCTTTACAGAATCAGCCATCCATTGAGGGAATCCTTTCTTCGAGGCGTTTAAATGTGCTCTCCTGTCAACAATGCTGAAACAGCTTTTAATCACCCATTTTACATGCAGATTTTAACGTTTACTCAAATTTAGTCTAAACCTCTTTTCCTGTACGTATTTTCTAAAACAGTTTTTGGAAAAAGAAACAACGGAAGCTGCATCCAAATCTCGAGACATGTCACTTTCTGTTTGTTTCCACTGGCGTACATTCATCTGTCGGTGGTGAAGAAAGTGACAAGGCTGTAATGCTTTCTTTCCCCCCTTCGATATTACTGAGAATTCGTAGAATTTTGCACAAAATTAGCACTAATTCTTCGTCTTTGAAGAACTTTTCGACATTGAATGTGAAGTCAGGATTTGGAGTATTGATTAAGGAAACTCGTCTTGAAGTTTTTTAATCATGGTGGGGACTAGCACTGAACACATTTTTGACGTGGAGCCTGTACCGTTCCACACAGTTTCACACTCTCATTCTTCGGCCGTTAGATGCGTTTGTCATGCTTTGAAGTTACGGAGTTTATTTTAGGCTGTACAGTTGTAGATACGCACACCTCCTAACATAAGGACCGTTGATCGTTTGTGGGGGGATGGGAAATACTGGCGGGTTCAATGTGCTTGAAGACATGACTTCGACTAGAGACGCCAGTGGGCATGTCCCGCCTATATGGTCCTGAATTTTTCATTTCTGTATATAAAGCTTGCTTTTACTATGCCACAGCGGCCACCTCATATTCCTTCCATATTCTCAATTCTCTTTTCGATAGATTTCTGTTTCGTATCACATGCAAATTTTTCTAGCTAAATCAGTGAAACCAAGGCACACACTTGATTTTCCAGTAGCTATTTGTTCTCACACTGAATCGAAAAGAAAATGCTTAGTACTTGTGGAATGGGAGACATGTAGATTCGCCGTCCCGCTAGGGAGCCTAAATGATTGCACCAGCCGCAACACATAAATGTGTTCACTTCGGTACAAAAAAGATAGAAGGAACTCCAATTTTAGCTATTTTAAATGAACCATTCTTTCAAAGTGTGAAATAGTTTTCATCACCTTTTAGGAGTCAAAATGGAAGAAAAATAAGTCGACTTGCAAAATTCAACTTCTTGGAATTTTTGGTATGACGAAAATGATAGTGAAGAAATGTGCAATACAACAAAACGTTAGAGACCTTTATGTTAATTTTAAGTGCTTTCTCCGAAAACACATGAGTCATTGGGAATTTACTAAAAATCCCATGTAGGTAGCCCACACATACATGACGTCGAAAGTGTTGAGTTGTTGAAGGCCACATCATTTGGTGAATTCAAACAAAACGTTTCGTTTTTAACGATCTAAAGGTGGCTTTTACAACCAAAGGTAGATTTAAATCCTTGGTATGATTAATGTACAACTTTTCCACTTACATGCTTGTCTGTCTAGCTGCATGTTCCAGACAGGAAAAATTTATAATTTATTGTTGACAGGGGGTAGGCGAAAGTTCATTCCCCTTAGATTTGGATGTTCTAGGGCAAAAAGTATAGCAACAAAAGCCGATTTACATACTTTTTTTGAGATCTCTAATTAAGTATAACAACAAGGTGCCTTCATTTGGGACACTGTTTTGTGATGGAATTTTTTATATCCTTTTTATTTTGTTCCCACCTTCATCCTCTCTCTTAATTTAAAACGCGTTTAATGTCCACAAAACTAATTGGAGGAAGCGAACCTGTCCCAGTTAGAGCTGCATCAGGTTCGTTTCTTTGGACCTGCTGCCTTTAACCAACACGCGAAATACGGCCTGGTATTGAATTTTTACAATGTCACTGTCATCTATAACAGTTCGAAAATGTCAGCAGTCTTCCACGAACTTATGCCTACGTCATAGTGATATGGGCGAACAGTAAAACAGTGGCGAGACGGCATTCCACAATAGCTGCACTTATCTCGGGCCGATTACGCATCCTGCCTACACTGACAGAAATGGTAATAAAAAATGCCAAAAGTCCGGTTCAGATGTCTGGCTACTTGCGTTAGAGACGAATCGGTTGGATGTCTTCCAGTAAGCTGTAATGTGCTTCATCAACAGCATTCCCTTTTCCGCCCCATATAAAAGCGAAATTAGTCTTCAGAGTTTCATGCTCACATGTAACCAAATAGATTTTCACTTTCGTACCCTCATTTCATATCAAAAGCACCTCTTTTTTCCTCATTCAAGCAACAGAGTTCAGAACTATCTGGTTTTGCCTTGATAAGCATAAACCTTCTCTAGCGCGTGGACATTAAAACTAGGGGAGTGGAAATTTTGTGTTGCTTCCACCTAGCGAGTTTACTACAAACCCATTTTCCAAACCACTTAACACAGCAACGAGACACAGCTAAACTGCCATTGCAGAAGTACAGCCTGTCGTATTTAAATAGAACGGGGAATCAAACGTCAATCAAAATAAATGCCAGATTATGCAAAACTTCTTCCCTTTTTTAGCGTTTATTTTGTTTACCTTCAAAGAATTGTTTTCGCCTTATCGGTTCGTTCTCAAGGTCTTTTTTGTTAGTCTCTATTGTGGCACCAGTCGCTGCACTTCTTCCGTTCTTCCAGAATTAATCGAGAGTCTGCATGATTCATTCGGTCTAACGAGTAGAGACGAAGACAGTCGATCGCATTTTCATCCATGCTGCTTTACGGCTTTGTTCACCACGTGAATCACACCGCAGAAATTTACCCATAGTGTTCAGTGAAAATCCGGTTGGCGTTCTTTTATACGCGCGTTTCATAGTCTTCTCACTTTCCATGAAAACGATTATCCTCAAGCAGGGTTAAAGTAGGGCAAATAGGGAGAGGTAGGAATTCGCATTCCTTCTCTCCTCCATCCTTGGTTCTGCTTGATACCCACCGACCCCATGCTAACTGCATACCTTGAGGCATGGTGATACACCAACTACTCACTTTTGTGGAGGTAACAGAATTCAAGGCAAATGTCAAATGTCGAAGTGACATTGACTCGTCCCTCACACCCTCTGCTGGGGTTTTCCCACAAATTCCGTCTTCTCAGTCATGCCTGTCCTTCCACAAGCTTGAGTTCAAAATCAACATAACAAATCCATTGTCTCAAGGCTAGTTAAGACTACATCCTGTGGAAAATAGGTTGTTTGAAGCACATGAGAAGCCTGAGTTACAACGCCAGAAGACCTTCAATGCAGAACACTCACTCTTGCTGCCAATCCATCGACTTCCTAACACCATCTCCACACCTCTGAATTTTCTACCATCTGCCCACCCAAATGCATCCTCCCTGCACTCAGGCCCCAACAGTCAGTCAGATGCGTTCAACCCACTTCTAAGTTGTGAGCATATGAACACATTCATTTCCTTACGGCCAAAGTGGATGGAAAGGTAATCCGTCAAAATGTGAAAATTGCATGCATGAATGTTCACACATACACACACACACACACATTTATGTACGCTGTATGCGTCAAGTGAAAACTACTTGGCCTTCTCCAAAACAAGGAGGGACAAAACTCTTGGGAGGGGCTGAAACTGGAAGCAAAGTGAATTTGCAACTAAAAGTAAGTGGAGGGGGAGAGGGAGGAGGAGGAGGAGGATGGCAAACAGCTTTTTTCCCATTTCAATTAGCTTAAAAGTATTCCTGATTTGCCTAAAGCATGGATAAGGAAAGGAGAATAGCATTGGGGAGGGGAGGAAGGTTAGAGTTTCGTGTTGATGCACTGAAGCGAATTGGAAGGTGAGGTGCGTTTTAAATGATGTTTGAATAAATTGTTAAGCAATTTCGCTGCGAGAGACAAGTGGAGATGTTTTTAACGAGAAATTTGTGCCGCGGTGCTTGAACAGTTCCTAACTTTCACGATATTAAAGCACGGTATTAGCGTATAGCCGTTGTTTGCTTTCACAGCCACTTTACCTAAACATTGTTCAACTTTGCATAAGAAGGCATAACTGCAGCCTTATGATAAGGACCTCAAACTAACTATTTAGCGAGCATTTTCATCTACCTACTTATAAGCACTTTTCCATTTAAGTAGTATGCACTGAATCTTTTAATTTTAAAAGGTATTCAGTGCTTTTTTGCATTGAGAAAAACGGCATCGTTTTCTGTGAGTGGTAGACAGAAGACACAAGCTCATTTACTACTACGAGGCGCTTTCGTATTGAAGGTAAAGCTGCAATCATGGACCGAATGCGGCTAGAAAGTGTTTACGGTCCATCCAGCCGCTGGAAGAAAGGATTGACCCCGATTTTACAAACCTGTATTAAAACGTACTTCTCGTGCCTTAAAACTTGATTGTGGGATCCCTTGTACATTGAGATGGGGATCGAAGGGAAGGGGCGGGAGAGGGTGGGGGGCGGCAGTAGGAAGATGGAGGCAGAATCTCGTCACTTTGTCGTAGCACCAAACCAGTGGAACAAACGGTTGCAAAATAAGGGTTAAAGGAGGCAAATTTTGTTGTGTCTACAAGTTCCGTTGCCGCTCGGAGTCGAACCAATCGCATGCATGACCTGAAGGGAGGAGGGAGGAAATCTGTTCACTGACAGCCATAAGGGACAGTGTATGTCGTCAAACAAACGATTTTCGGTATTAAAGACTCCTATTAAACATCCTAGTTTGGAAAATGTTCCTTCTCTTGCCATAAGTTGATTTATTGTGCTGTCAGTTTGTGCACCAATCAAATTCCACGGTGCCGGAAAGGACCTTTTTTTCGATTTTTGATTGGTTTAAAAAATAGAATTTGAGCACCACATGTTGCTATCAGAAGGGAGAAGGGACTTCTCATTCTGCTTTCCGAATAGGCTGTGGCATCCATTCCGCAAAGCTCTTTCCTTCAAAGTTGCGCTCTTTGACGTCATTATCTTCACGTAAATTCTTAGCAGCAAAAACACAACCCAGTTTCTCCAAATCTGAGCTCCTTTTTTCCTCCAAAGTGTTCCAATCTGTGCCTCCTTGTAATTCTCTGTCAAATCAATGAAAGCACATTTTTAATCACGAAGCATCATCATTAATTTTTACATATAGTTTTATTTTTTTTAAGTTTTTTTTTTTTGGTGGGAAAGCTTTTGACGAGGCGGGCTTTCAGCCACCGACCTCGAGCCCTGTTGGCGAAGCCGCATTCACGACCTTTGACCTCTCCGGTGCACCTGCTTCTCAACTACCAACTTTGACTAGGAAAATAAAATTACAGGGGAACGAGGAGAGAGAAATTTATGATTGCTGAGCCCTTTGGAGGAGGAAAAAAGGTTGTGCATGGGTGAATGACCTGAGGTGGTAATGATGTATGGGCTATTGCATTGCCCTTCCCAGTAAATCCGGCACATTAGACCAAACCGGTGGTGAAGACATTCATACAAAGTGTGAAATAATTTTTCCCTCTGTTTTTTGGGATGCTTTTTTTTTCCTCCCCCTTCATTGCCGTCTTTTGCACCCGGTCAGAAGCTTCACCGCTCTGAGTGACGCATATCGCTCTCTACGAGGCGGTCAAGACGCGCCTTCTTTGAGGCAACTTTCTATTTGCTTCACTTGGGCTGCAAATTTAAGCGATGCGGTTTT